GGTGGGGGCGGGGCGGGGCGGGGTCCCGGAAGAGCAGCCCCGCCCCTGCCTCGGCGCAGCGACGCGCTCAGTCCCGAGCGTCTGGCTCGGCCTCCGCCGACCTGGTTTCTGATATGTGAAAGAGGACGGTCTCCTTAGCCTACCTGCGACGCATAATACAGCTCCGGAAGCAATGATATTGGGTTTGGTTTTTTTTAAAATATATATTGGGTTCTTAAGCACAAGAATTGAGATTCCCTATAGTAGACTACGCCAAAATCGCAACATGTAATACAGCACTTTTTGCAGGTATCTGAACATTTAATAAGGCAGGAGTTTACTTGGAAGAAATAAGGGATTAAGTATAATTTTGCTGATCCTTAAAACAAAACCCATTGCCATCGAATCCATTTCTATTCATAGCGACCCTATAGGACACCAGGAGAACTTGGCTTCCAAAGCTGCAACATTTTCTCCCAAAAGTGGTTGATGGGTTCCAACCACCTACATTTTGAGAGCCCTGATGGTGTAGTGGGAATGCACATTTTGAGAGCCCTGATGATATGCTGGGAATGCATTGGGTTGCTCTATCAGCAGTTTGAAACCACCAGCCGCTCTGCGGGAGAAAGACAAGGCTTTCTCCTTGGAAACCCACAGAGGCAGTTCTATGGATTCCTTATGAATCGGAATAGACGCGACGGTCGTCAGCTTGGTAAGCCACTCCTTTGCTGTTACGTACTTCAAACTCACTGCTTACTCATGTCAATAATAGGAAAGAGTATAATTGTGCTTTTGGTTTTCTGAGATGGTAAATAATTACGGGAGCAGGCAACCTCATCTTTATCCCACTGAATGGCTGTGGGTTTGAACCATGAACTTGGTATCCTAAGGATACCACTAGGAATCCTTAGGAGTATTATCTTGAAACAACGTACTGCCTACCGCCATCAGGGCCACTATGACTCATAGTCACCCTCTATGACAGGACAGAACTGCCCCTTTTGGGGGTTGAATCTTTTTGGGTGTGGCATAGACTGCCTCCTCTTTTTCCTGTGGAGTGGCTGGTGGGTTCAAACTGTTGATCTTGTGCTTGGCAGCTCAGTGTGCAGGCTAATGTGCCACCAGGGTTCCTTGCCCTTTGTTAGGTATTTTTAGGAAAAGATATACTCATCTGAGAGCAGAGGGGCTTGGAAGAAACTAAGTTTCAGGATAACATTAGAGTCACACTTCATTTCTCATCTCCTTTCTGGGCATAATAATGAAAATTTAGTTACTATTTTGTGAATTTAAGGATTACCGGCTTTGGATCACTTTTGTCACTTTAATCTACACCTGGCTTTCTAGCCCCGCAGGTAAGGGTTATAGTTAGCTTTTACCATCCCCGATAATAAGACTGGAATACTAGAGAGAGGGAAGGTAAGATTTGAATCGAGCTGAGACTGTATCAAGTTCCTGTGAGAGGTTTCCTGGCCATGCCTTTAGAATTCCAATGTGCCCAGTGTGGTGTGGTGTTGGGTACACACACACCTATACATGTGTGAAAACTACTGCTTAAACTGAAAATTAAAAGAAGATGTTGTCGATTCCAACTCCTGGGTACCCCATGTGTGCCAGAGTGAACTGTGCTCCCCAGGGTTCTCAGTGCCTGGTTTCTTTCAGAGCAGATGATCAGGCTTTTCTTCTGTGGTGCCTATGGCTAGATTCAAATCACACCTTCAGTCTTGCTGTTAGCAGCTAAGGGTATTAGCTGTACCACTTAAATTATAGCAGGTCTATATTTTCAAAGAGAATAATTCAACTAAAGGCACGCATATCCCCAGTGACTATAATTTGAGAGTTGTATAAAAATATTTGTTTCAGTGAATGTATGTATAGAAACACTTCAAAACCTCATGGGAAAATGAAATGAAAAGATAAAGGTATTTTTCTATGAATTTTTTGCACCTCCTTTGTACTTCAGAAAGTGACAACTCATATTACTGAACTGAAATTCTCTTTGAAACTTCAGTGTCTTACCAATATTTGCTTTCATTTTGACTTTTCAGTTCTTTTTTACATAAGAAGTTACATACAATTCTGCAGTCCATGTAAAACCTGCAAATATTCAACTTTCAGTTTTTAGTACAGTGAACCCTCGTTTATCGCGGTTAATCGGTTCTAGACCCTACCGTGATAAATGAAATTCCGCGAAGTAGGATTCCTTATTTGTATATCAAATATTTTCGTAGTTAGAGCATAGAGGACATGAAAAAACACCCTTTAGTCACTATTACACTCGTATTACCCAATTTATTAGACGAAAAAGGGAAAATACAGTAAAACATTTTGGACGTTACAATTATCATTTATTATTTATGATATTATTTATGGCATCAAGCATGTACAGTATGAGCCAATCAGTGGCAGTAATGACAGAGCATGCGCTGTTATGCAAAAACCACGATAGCGTGAAGCCGCGGAAGTCGAAGCGCGAAGTGGCGAGGGTTCACTGTATTTGTTTTCTTCCCTCATGTCACTAAGTAATCCTTTCTTTACATTCTCAAAAATTTACTGCTCCTTTAAAAATGACTAAGTGCCTAGTATTATTTCCCAGAGTGTACATGGCTAACCCATTTGAGGCGCACACTACTGTTAAAAGGAATGGAAAATAAGAACCAAAACTTAATCGGAAACAACACACTACAGTTAGTATTACCGTGATATACAAATAGAGCCGATGATGGGAATCTAGTTCTCGACTATTTCCAACAGAGGGCCATATTTGCATGGTTCTATTGCTAGTAATTGATTTTCACTGTTACTGTTTACAACCTTCTCTAGTTATAAATGACGACGAGGGTATCAAGATACTTTTAATTCCACAAGCATCTGAGTGGTAAATGCATTAGGAAAATGCAATGTGAAAGGAGCTGGAATATAGACATTATACAGAAGGTTTTTGTGGATAGAAAAGATATACTCTTTGGGCAACTTTATTTGGCCTCATTTCTCTTATTAAAACTCTCAAAGTTAAATGAAAATGAGAAAGCTAGAAACTCTCTAGTGAAGAAATAGAGAAACCTATCTTAGAAAGTTGTATCTGCAAAGAACGAAAACAAGAAGCTATAGGAAGGCTATTCCAGAAGATTACTTTCATTTAAAAGGTAACAGATGTTTGGATCATGAGAACTGAAAGAACTACCTCTGTTCTATACTGAACTACGGACCGTACGAATTTCCTTTTAACTGCTTTTCAATGATAGGCATTCTAGTTTTAGGTCCCAGTAAGCTAATTTGTCTTCTGCTGCTTGTGTTTAACATGTTTGATAGTGTATTAATGCCACATATTAGGGCCCCTAAAGATCTAGGCTCTGGCTTGAGGAAGCTCTAACGGAGTAGCAGGTTACAAGCTGAGCTGCTAACCACAAGGTCAGCAGTGGGAAACCACCAGCCACTCTGAGGGAGAGAGGGCTTTCTGCTCAGTTTTTAAGATTTACAATCTCAGAAACCCACAGCACAGGGGCCGTTCTACTGCCCTATAGGGTTGCTATGAGTCAGATTCAACTCAATGAGTGGCAGCGAGTTGGTATAGCACGTTAAGCAATGAGTGGCAGTTTGAACCCTTCAGCCTCTCTTGGAGAAAAAGGCAGACTTCCGTGGAAACCCCATAAAGCACCTCTATTTTGTCCTATAGGGGGCTACGAGTCTATGAGTTGGAATTGACTTGATTTGGAGGATAATTGGCCCTTTAAATTTGCACCTCAAGTTTACTGATATAGTTTCAGGTTTTAGGCCCACGTGGTTAATTTTTGCATAGGGTGAGATGGATCCGATTTCATTTTTCTACAAATGGATATCCAGTTTTGCCAGCACCTCTTGTTAAAGAGGCCCAATTGTTTCATATGTAGCCTTCCCTGTTCTAACTGGATTGAGTTCCGTTCCAGAAACATGTGGCATATTACAGTGCTTTACTTAACGCTACACATATAGTAAGCTCTCAAATAAATACTTGATAATGGGTTGGCTCCAAAGTTGGCCGGAGATGTTCCACACCTGGAAGATGAGACATAATGATCCAGTAATTAGCTCATTAAAACTAAAGGTTCTTTTTCTCTGGGGACTATTTCCCAGGGCTCGTGGTGCTGGCCAATTTCACCATTGATTTAAGCGCCAGAGCAGTTACAAGCGACAGGATGGCAGAAAATGAAGGCATTTATTTACGTGGATGAAGCCATTTTAGAGAAACTGTGATTTTGTAACAAGCGTTAAGACATAGGGCTGCATAGGAAAGACTCTTGATTTCTGGTGCTTGCAAGCAAAGACACAGGAATGAAATGTACCAGAGTAACGATACATTGTGACAAACCCGATGTTTGGAGTACAGTGGCGCGAGGGGGAGACGCGAGGCGCTGGCTTGCAAGTGCGCAACTGGTTTTGAATGAGGCACGCCCCAGGGCGCGCGCACCCCTTCGATTAGAGTCCCCAGTGAGCCCAAGGAAGCGCAGTGCCTTCTCCAGCCCCGAGGGGCGCGGAGGGCCGCGGCGCGGAGGGCGGCTCGCCCAGCACTAGGAGTGACAGGGTACCCCAATCTCGAGACACCACCCAGCAAAGGCAGGGCGGAGGAGGGGGTACACTCTGGACGTCCTCCCCTGGCAGCCTCCTAGGCACCCTACCCGCGAGGTGGATGGAGCAGAGTAATTTGTATCACAGGGGAGTCGCTCTCAGCCTTCGGGAACCCAAGGGACTGTGGCTTAGCCGGCGTTAAGCGAGAAGGGACGGCCCCTCCGCCCCCGCCCTCCCCGCGCGGTCACGTCACCGTCGGGCGGGGTGGGAGGAGCATGCGCGAGGCGCTGCGTGCCATTCACGAGCCGAGCGCGGCCTGGAGACGTGGGGGAAGGGACTGCGATTGAGCCGGTGCCGGGGGAGGTGGCGCGGGGCAAACTGGGAAGTGCTGTCGTGTCCTGGCTCCGCCCCTTTCCGGAGGGTGGGGGAGAGCCATATATAAGTGCCACAGTCGCCCCGAACGTTCTTTTTCGCAACGGGTTTGCCGCCAGAATATAGGTGAGGACTGGGGCGACTTCCGCGGGCCGGGCCTCCCTCGGCGCTGTGTGCCCCTCGCGTGCAGTTGTCCTCCTTCCCCGGAGCTGCCTGGCCAGGTTCTTGCCCCGAATTTCGGGCGGTCAGCGGGTGGGAAGGGCTCGAGGCCTGGCGCGGTAATGGCGAGCTCGGCGCCTCGTGCCTGCGTCTGGGCCTGGCCTGGGCGCCATGGCCAACGCGTGCGAGGCGGGCGGCACCGCC